GAGCGCAAAGAGATGGGTATCCTGCGTCTTCTTTTGAGGTGTTTGGAGGGGTGGAAGAGGGGAGCTGTCGTGAGGCGCGCCGGCCGTTGTTCGCTGTGGGATTGCAAAATGCGACAGTGGGGTACTAGGCTAAATGCGGATTGGCGTGCCAAGTGTTCGACCGAGGACTTATCGATACGCCGACATACATTGACACGAACAACTGACATTGACAATCAGTCTGAATGTTAGATTGGTATAGCTTAAATATGTTTGAAAATTCCAGATCGATAATTTTTCAGTGATTGTGTTATCATACAAGACTACCGCAGCATATCCACACATACAAATACACTATCGCAACATGTTGCTCGCCTTTGCGCTACTTCCATTGTCCTGAATATCATAACTTCCGTCGATTGTACGCCCAGTAAGCCTTCATCGGCAATTTCCAGTCCACATTCCTCATTGTTGGGTCAAAGATGTCAAAATCAACTCCTTGCAACTTATCCAGCCATGCCTGCGTCGCAACGCTGGGCATGAAAACGCCAAATGCTTTTTCTACTTCTGCCAGCTGCGCCTCCTGTCCAGTGTTCATCTGCTGCACACTATATTCATGGTCCTCCTCGTGCTGGTGCTCAAAGTCATGACCGAGCGTCCCTTCAGATCGCAACTTATTAAGCATTTCCCGAGCTGTGATGAGATGGTCATTTGCACGTGTGGCTACCGTGAAGACGGCGTCGCGGAGACCAGGAGCGGCACCGCCCTGTCGGAACACATCCTCTTCCCGGACGGAGGCTTCGGCCATGACATCAAGCGGGAGAAGAACAGCTCCTTGAGTTGGTCCTGATTGGCCTGTAATGGAGTTGCTAGTACCGAGTGCCTGTTGTTGTGGGAATGCGATAAAAGGGATGCCTCGTAGCACTGCCGCTATGCCCATTGCCTTTCCAATGTGTGATGCAATATGATCGGTTGTAAGAGATGCTTGCGGCAGCGCAGAAAGGGTAAGGTACAACATGGTCGAGTACGTATTCTCAGCATAGCTCTCCAGTGCACTCAGGGTTGGATATGGAGGATTCCCTAGATACTGTTCTCGCGTGTTGATGATGCGATGAAACCAATTCTTGCTTAACCTTGCTTTTCCATCAGACCTCTCATGCAAATCTTCCGCTGCTTGTGCCAAAAGAATGGCTACTGGCTCTTTCGGTGGAGTTCCTGCTAGTGCTTTGGTTATAGTATCCCGCCAAAATTGCATGCGCATCATGCCAATAGTGGGGGTACTGGTCGTATCGGCGACACGGGCAACGTCGACATTGAAGGCGCGGATGGCAAGGTAAGCATCGCGCGAAGATTGCGGTATGAAAGTTTGCAGGATATGTGAGGGTGTGTCATATGTTCTGCAGGTGGTCAACGAAAGGCCGATTGTTAATAGGAAAGGTATAGTCACCTGACTAAATTTGCGCAGTATGCGCGGGCCCTTGCAACTTCATCTTCTGAAAGTTTCGCTGTACTATTGAGACGAGAAGAAGCATAGAGAAACCTGCGCTTGGGCCCTAAGAAGCCTTGTATGCGCCGGAAGGGACCTGCGCGGAGTCTCGGTGGAAGCATTGAAACTTTTTTTTTACAGCAATCAATCAAAAATTATAGTAGTGCAATGCGAACGGCCATTGCGCAATGCAAATAGTGATAACAAAGAGAAGACACTTGTGGTACAGGTAAGAGAGAAGTCCAAAAAATGCAGAGTAATATGAATCGATTTGTTGTAAGGCACAAAGAGTGGAAGGCGACTGGTTGGTATGTATGACGCTATAATGTCGATCACCCGCACGTTAGGCCATGTGGGTTCGTGAAAGCGCGTCGACGCGTCTAACCACTTTCCAAAGCGGCGAAAGTACCTGCGGCCAGCGACCGTCACCAACACCATGCAATCTCCGCACCCAGACGAGCGACCCTCCAAAAAGCGCCGTTTCTTTACCGAAGATTCATCGCCAGTACAAGTCCGCTCAAAACCCGTTGACCTCCCTCCATCGTCATCGCCGCCACCGCCGCCACCACCGCCTCAGGACAGCGAGCCGGCACCAACTGAGGAGACTAGCAATGGAGCGCAACCGGATTTTGACGGTTTCGATGTCGAAACTCTTCAGGCTATCGTTGGAGAACTTTCAATCTCCACGCTGCAGAAGTTGAAGGATGTCAGCGCAAGCAATGTGGAGCGCGGTATGCATACACTCGGAAGATATCGGAGTCTATGCTAACATATACAAGCAATCAATTTATATTTGGATGGTTCTTGGAGTACAATGCTGTCAAGATCCCCGGCACCAGCCCTTCAGTCTCGTCCACAATCAGTCCAGATGACAATAGCCAGTTCGCTCAAGCGCACCGAATCCGACGTTTCGAATGCCCCCACACCCGTATCCGGTTCTTCCACGCCCAAAGTGATACGTGATATGCCCAGCAGACGTTACATTGGATCATTCGGCGCCGCTGCATGGGCGACCAAAAGTGGAAGTGGCCTTCTCAAACATGATGAGAAGGTTCGTATCGAGCGTGTGAAGCCACAGCCTAAATTGAACAAGGCCAAGAAGGTCATTCAACTTAAGAAGCCAGATATCGTGGTGCGATTCATAAATGAAAAAGGAGAAGAGGTTGGAAGGTTGGACCAAGATACGGCATCATGGGTGTCTGTTCTAGTAGACCAGAATTTGTGTTCGTTTGAAGGTTCCGTTGTGTATACTCCGGATAAACTGCGGACTGGAGATACTATCTACCTGCAACTACGGGGTTATTTCCTGCGAGGGGCATTTGACAGTCAGAAGTTTATGAAGCCTGATAACAATCGAGAGATCAACCTATTCGAAGAAAAGGAATCTTCTGAAGAACGCGACCTTCGATTACGACAGGTCGGCCTCGTTAAGCTATTCGAGGCTATCAATCTCCACCCTACACATGAGAACGAGACGACTGCGAAGCACCGGCGCCAAGGACTGCTGCAGGCAGCAGAGGGTGATGAAAAGAAAGGCGACAAGCCCAAGCCAAAAACCAGTACACCAGCAACACCTTCGACTCCTGCAGATAACACATCCTCGCCACCGCCAGATGAGGTCGAGGAAGGAGAGGAGCTCGAACAGAGTCAATTGGATTCATTGTACAGGAAGGCGCAATCTTTTGACTTCAACACACCAACCATGGATCCAGCCAGCACTTTCCGTTTGGATCTGCGAAAATATCAAAAGCAAGCCTTGTTTTGGATGGTTAGCAAGGAAAAGGACGAATCAATAGAAGACAGAGAAACATCAATGCACCCGCTATGGGAAGAGTACCAATGGCCAACACAGGATGCAGACAATCAGCCTGTGCCGGCTGTTGCCGATCAAGCCATGTTCTATGTCAACCCCTACTCGGGCGAGCTGTCACTGGAGTTTCCAAAGCAAGAGCAGAATTGCCTGGGTGGTGTCCTCGCTGATGAGATGGGTTTGGGCAAGACTATCGAGATGCTCAGTCTGATCCACACGCACAGAACGGAGGTGAATAATGCTGAGACGCTGGCTACCCCAAGATCTCTGCCAAAATTCCACAAGGCTAGTGCTGCCGTTGAATCTGCTCCATATACCACTCTCGTCATCGCGCCAATGTCTCTACTGGCGCAATGGCATAGTGAAGCCGAGAAGGCATCAAAGGAGGGTACTTTGAAAGCAATGGTGTACTATGGCTCTGAAAAAGCAGTCAATTTGCAAAAGCTGTGCTGCGCCTCAAACGCCGCCAATGCACCAAACGTTATTATCACGAGTTACGGTACTGTGCTTTCCGAATACAATCAAGTCCTCGCACAAGATGGCAATCGGGGGTCACACGGCGGTATATTCTCACTGGAATACTTTAGGGTTATTCTCGATGAAGCACACTATATTAAGAACCGGCTGTCGAAGACAGCGAAGGCTTGTTATGAGCTCAGCGCAAAACATCGCTGGGTACTGACAGGAACTCCAATTGTCAACCGCCTTGAAGATCTATTCAGCTTGGTGCGTTTCCTAAAGGTTGAGCCGTGGGCGAACTTTTCATTTTGGAAAACATTCATCACTGTTCCATTCGAGTCTGGCGACTTTGTGCGTGCCCTAAACGTTGTACAAACAGTGCTTGAACCGCTGGTACTCCGTCGCACCAAGGATATGAAGACACCGGATGGCAAAGCGTTGGTGCCATTGCCACCACGGACAATCGAAGTTGAGAAGATCGTGCTATCCCAAGACGAGCGAGATGTGTACGACCATATATACATGCGCGCGAAGAGTGTATTCAGTGCCAATGCAGAGGCTGGAACATTAATGAAGTCGTATACCACCATCTTCGCTCAGATTCTCCGGCTACGGCAGTCATGTTGCCACCCCGTCCTCACTCGCAAAGCCAATGTTGTCGCTGACGAGGAGGATGCTTCGTTGGCCTCTGACCTTGCAAACGGGTTAGCAGACGACATGGATCTCTCCAATCTTATTGAGCGGTTCGAGTCCGAAAATGACCAAGATGCGAGCAGGTTCGGGGCAAATGTCCTAAAGCAGATACAAGACGAAAACGAGGCCGAGTGTCCCATTTGCTGTGAAGAGCCAATGAACGAGCAAGCTGTCACTGGGTGTTGGCACTCTGCGTGCAAAGAGTGCCTGCTCAACTACATTGCTCATCAACGCGACAAGAATGAAATACCACGGTGTTTCAACTGTCGCGAGCCCATCAACGCGCGTGACGTTTTTGAAGTAATCCGGCATGATCACATCGTCGAGGACAACGAGCCCAATCATGCTTTCCGCGCTTCAGACGCACCCCCACCAACCTCCACACAAACACCACGCATCAGCCTCCGCCGTGTTGGCCTTACTGGCTCCGCCAAAACCCAAGCGCTGATAGGCCACCTGAAGAGAACCCGCAAAGAAGAAAAGAATGCCAAGACAGTAGTCTTTTCCCAATTTACATCTTTCCTTGACCTGATCGAGCCTGCTTTAGCACGCGATCACATACCCTTCCTACGCTTTGACGGCTCCATCACTCAGAAGGCGCGCGCGCAAATCCTCACAGAGTTCACCACATCTCCGAAGCCGTATGTCTTGCTGCTGAGTCTTCGCGCAGGCGGTGTCGGCCTGAATCTCACTTGTGCAAGCAAAGTATTTATGATGGATCCATGGTGGAGTTTTGCTGTCGAGGCTCAAGCAATTGATCGCGTACATCGTATGGGCCAAGAACGGGAAGTAAAAGTAGTAAGATTTTGTGTCGAGGGAAGTATCGAGGAGAAGATGTTGAGGATTCAGGAGAGGAAAAAGTTCATGTAAGTTGCCACTAAACTCCTTCCCCTTCCATGTTGTCAAATCTTGTTTTCAAGGAAAGCTAATATTTTTTGCAGTGCGAGTTCGCTGGGTATGATGTCTGATGAGGAGAAGCGTGTGCAGCGTATAGAAGATATCAAGGAACTGTTGAGTTAAGCATCTATGGATGAAAGGGTCGATGCTCTTACACGAACTATAACCATGTACATGCTTTCAAGAACGTTCCGCATTCCTATGTCTTTGGTCTTCTCACGTGATTGACATGTTACGTGGTCATGGAATCACTTCCAGAGTCGACACATTCGTCACTGCATAATCGCATCTCCAAATAGAACCAATGGGGAACTTCCTTTGCCACATCGTTCTGGTTACTATGACAATCAACTTTCCCTTTCAACTTCTTCCCCTCGATCTTCTCTCCAAGATACCCAAGACACCACATCACATTAGCACACTACACTTTCCTTATTCCCTAAATCGCATGTATTCATCACATTCCTATATTACTATCACCTTCATTACACCCTTCACATGATATACCCTTGTATACCCATCCTCCCCCAACATTACACCGCCAACCCCTCCAAACAAAAAAAAACAAAACAAAAACAACCTCCTCGTGTGCATACTACCCTGAATTAGGAGCTCAAAACAATCCCAACCCCAACCCCGCCGCTCCAATCAGCAACCCCGCAATCCGTCCCGTCGGCACCGCAGCACCACCCGTAAACTCAGGCAGTAAACTAGAAAAGGGCACGGAAAACGATGGCGCATCTTCGATAGACGTCGTCGTGGTGCTTGAGCGTGTGGAAGAGGGGTTGGATATGATGGCGGGGGGGATGGAAGGAGAAGAAACGGATTCTTCTTCGGTGGTGGTGGTGGAGGAAGAGGAGGGGGTTGGAGGTGCGGGACCTTGAGATGAGGAGTCAGCGGTGCTAATGGATGGAGGGGAGATAGTTGGTAGCTGTGCTGGTGGAGGGGCGGGACTGGGGATTGGGGTAGGGGAACTGGGTGGTGCGGGGGATGCGGTGGGAGGAGGAGGTGGAGATTGTGATGGAAGAGGCGTACGTGAGCTAGGTGGCGGAGGTGGTGGCGGAGAGCTGGGGGGAGATGCGGTAGATGTTGGTGCAGCGGTTCGACTAGCTGGGGCTGCAGATGTCTCGGTCTCGGTCACTACGGCGCTTTCGGCTGTTGGTAGACGCCGGATGATAGTTGTTGCGGCGGGGACGCGGGATAGATATGTGGTTGAGCCCCGTGTTGAAGTGTCTGGATCCGCGGTGCTTCCTACGATGGGGTCGCAAGCACTGGATCCGATGGGCTGGCCGAGCTGTTGGATAACCGTGGGGAGTGTGTTCAGGTAACTGACTACTGTAGGCGGTACTGAGGATTTTGGCTCTGGGATCTCGCTTTCTACGACGATGAGGGGGGGCCAGACTGTAGGTACTGGTAGTGCTAAAGTTGAAGTCTCGCTCACGCATGCTGGGCCGATTGGCTCGACTTCGATGCGGCTGAATGTGGCATAAGCAGCGTATACGGTTGGCCATGTCAATGGCACGCCGGAATAGTCCCAGGTGATGGTCTGGCTTGGTGGCGGGAGCTCGTTTGTATAAATTGTGGAGCTCACATCTTCTCCAGCGTCGTTGGTGTAGATATCGAGAGTCACAACGGGTAATGATGTGGTCGAAATGATGACGGTTCCTGGGTAGCCCACTCGCTCGGCCGTTACATCAATCTGACATGCGCTGGAGCATGACACGGACGCTGAAAAAGTCGATGTCAAGGAGGGAGTCAGTGTCTCGGTAACGGTGGTTGGTTGAGTTAGAGTAGTGACAAACGATTGCGTAACCAAGATGGTTGAGATAGTAGTCTCAGCCGGCAATGTCAAAGTTGACACTAAACTTGAGCCAGGAAGCGATATGGTACTTGTTATGATAGAGGCCGGCAAAGTTACAGTCGAGAGCACTGTGCTTGTGGTTATACTTCCGGGAAGCTCACTCACTACTGTCGATGTTACAGCTGGTTGAGTTATGACAGAGATAATTGTGCTTGCCGGCAATTGCGTAGTAACCACCGAAGTTACTCCGGGGAGTTGACTGACTGATGTAACGACTTCAGGTGGCAGGGTGAGCGTGGAAACAATCGTACTCGCAGGTAATTGCGTGGTCACAATTGAAGTAGTTCCAGGGAGCTGAACGGTAGTCGTCACAATTTGCCCGGGTAAAGTAATAGTGGAAAGCTGTGTAGTCGCAGGAAGTTGTGTAGTGACGGTCGAGAGACTCCCTGGAAGCGTAAGAGTAGATGTAGTAATCTGACCTGATTGTGTGTATGTATCTGTGATGATTGTAGGCGGCGAGACCGACACAGAAGTAATGGTAGTTGGTGGCAGTGTCAGAGTTGAGACAGTCGTAGAAATTGTAGTACTTGGCGGAAGTTCGGTTGTTACTGTAGATGTGACCCCAGGAAGTGTTGTCGTAGTAACAATAACTTGAGGTAACAGTGTCAAGGTACTGAACTGAGTTGAAATTTGTGTCCGAGTCTCCACGACTGTCTCTGTTCGCTCCACTGTCTCAGTCGGGCCCGGAACTGTGATCTCTTGAGTTGGCCCTGATACGGTAATTTCTCGTGTGGGGCCTGGGATCTCCACCGTGAATGTGGATGTGACCAAGATTTCAGAGACAATGGTTTGGGTACTTATGCTAGTTGTACCAGGAACTGCCTTATGTCAGGTTGCCCTGGGTTTTCTTCTGACCTAGAAGTACTTACGAGATATAGTTGTGGGAACAAACTCAGTTGTCGTCAACGTCGAAACAGACGTGGATATACTAGTGGTCCAGGAAGTCTCTGTCGTACTGGTGGTTTCAATTGTTGTAGTCGGTTCAAGGCTGATAACAGTTTCGGTTGGTCCAGGCACCGAGACAGTTTGGACCGAGGTCTCTGTAGGGCCTGGTACTGACACAGTCGGTCCTGGTACAGTTTCAATTACGGAAATCAGCTCAGTCAGTGTGAGCGTTGCGGTAGTTTGCGAGACTACCGTTGTAGTGCTGATAGAAGTTGTCCCAGGCACTATTTACTGTCAGTTATCCGGGTAGCGATCTCGGGAAAAGCAAAAATAGTTCGATACAACCATGAATTAGAAAAGATCTAAGTGCGGAAACTCACGTGTTATGGTTATGGTGTCAAAGAGAGTCGTGGAGAAAGTGGTAATCTAGAAGAACATAAATGTTAGCACCATCACAGGTTGGTAACAGCCAGCCATGTGAACTCACAGAAGTGTATATGGATGTTGAAATGCTGGTGGTTGTGGATACAAGAGTTTCAGTTGTGGTATCAAGATCAGTTGTCGTTATTGGTATGGTTGTATATTCAGTTGTCGGGGTGTAGCTAGTTTCGGTCGTTGGAAGGAGCTAAAACATTGTTAGTCAATTTCAAGAAACAGTAATTCAACATGCAATGAATCAAGAGAAAATCCTTTGCAAGATAGAAGCTCGTAAATATATGTGTATCATCAACAAAAGATGTGACTACACATGTTAAGAGGACGAGGTGTAAATAACATACCGAAACAAATGTCGAAATGATTGTCTGCTTGTATTAGTTGATCGTGTTTGGAAAGGGGGGTGCAAACTCACTGTGGTCGTCAATTCTGTCAAAGTGTTGTTGACCGTCCTCGTTGGGCCAGTGACACTTTCTGTAAAGGTGTACGCCGAAGTCTGTTATTCATTAGCCAAGTAAATAATTGGATTGTTTTATGGAATAAAATACCTCGGTAAGATTGAGACCTGCTTTTGTGGTAGTTTCTTTTTCAGTCTTTATAGGTCAGCGAACACCTCGAAGTAAGAGAGTGATGAGATGTACCTTTGTTGTTGTAGAACTTTTAGTCTCTGTGATAGTTTTAGGAGGGCGGATGGAGCAGGATTGAACGGAAGTAATTGTGACGGTTTTCGCAGGTGGGCCATATCCACCACCGTTGGCCACACTTGTTGTTTTCGTAACAGTGACTGTGATGGGCGGGGGGAGGACTTCGTAGCCTCTGGAAGGTGTGATGGTAGTCGTGACTGTCCTGGTCAAGGTACTGGGGCGTGGGCTCGGACAGGTCATGGGTGCAGTGACTGTGATTCGTATTGTAGATGTAGAAGGCTGCCCATAATCGTACACCGTGGTGGTGGTCTTGCATGTACCCGGTGTCTGCCCATAATCTTGCGCGTGGATTACTTCTTCGGAAGGTTTGATGGACGGCGATACAGCCTTTGGTGATTTCTGAGCATCCGGCACTGTGTTGTTATTCTGCGCGTGAGCTATGCAGGTCAATGCTAGAAACAGCGGCCAGTAATTGCGCATCCTGAAGCAGAAGACTAGTGATTTGGCTGAACGAGTGACGAACGGACCGAGCCTAGATATTCGCGTGCGAAAATTAGTGTAAACTGCTTGGAAAAGATGGTCGTGGATGCAGCTAGAAATGGTAAAGAGCTCTAGCCTTCTAAAGCGAGCGCAAGGCTGAGAGATGGTATGGTGTGCAGGAGCCTCAAAAACATTGGATATTGAATACAGAAGAGACAGCTTTAGAGAGAAAGAAGAATCTAGACCAATCAGTGCATGGCGTACCTTGTTACAGAGCCTGTGCCGGAAGGTGGGAAAGGAAAGAAATTGCCGGCTAAGGAGATACAGGACGATGACGAAGCTAATAGCATTCATGCATATTACGAGATCATACGCCTGCACCGAGGAGGCTGGGAATACATGAACTTGGCTTGTGTGCCTCTATACCAGGATACGTAAATGTAACACCGGAAACAGCATATCCAAGCGGCAGGTGGGTATCTCCTCATGGCCTATTGCTTAGAAGAGTACAGAGCCCGGCGCTGAACTGATGCTAAGCCAGTGAATCATTCCACGAACACTGTCAGCACCGTCATCCTCCGGTGAAAGGCCACCACTTCAGCCATGGATGCAGATCAAAATCACGATAGCAGTGGCTGCCATTTCTAAACGCCATAACAAATCTTACCCGCACTACAACATCAGGAAATAGGACACTTGCTGCGAGGGATCTAGAGCCGAGTCGTGGATGCAACCCACGATGAACGCTGACATGGACTATATTGAGGCCGCATATAGTTAGCCCTCGACCGTAACTGGAATAGTGATCTGCAGCTGTTCATCAAAAGAAATGCGGCTTGACGCCAGGAAAGGCTGCGATGAAGGAGGTGTGGGCCAGCCTGGCAGAAGGCTAGAAGCTATGATTAAGGACATGGTAACACAAGGGCGGCCCTTACAGCTTGACTGATGCCTCCGCTGGACGCCATACTACTCAGGTTTACTAGCTAGGATCACTTAACAAGAGCACGATGATGCTTGTTGCAACAGCTCCGGGTGGATGAATGGAGCCGCAGTATATGCCGCAGCAAAGTCGTCATGAGGAGGGCATGGCGCAAGGCGTACAATGTCAGGCGAGATGCATGCACGTAAGAAGCTCAGTCCGTGCGCGACGGGAGAGTGGGGCGGCACCTAGCGCAATTGCGGCCTTAGCTGCCGCAGTGAAGAGAGCACGACTTGAACATGCTCGTCCAGTCAACCTTCAACGCCTCCTGTACGCCACACACCTACTCACATCCCTCACTCAAGATCTGCTTGCCGAGACATCTCAACACGTTGCCCTCTCATGGCTCTAGCCCCCACCCGCCTACTTCTAGGCCCGCGATCTCTTGTTTGTTGCTTCTTCTCCAATGAGAGCCCTGTAATTAGTCGCCACCCAACTCACATTCTTTGTTTGGTACCGCCACGTCGAGTGGTATTTTGATGTCTCCAAATGCGCTAGGCAAGCATATCATGTCCCTTTGGTGCCGTGCCTCGACCCCGCGTCAAGCACAGACACCAGCCATGCTGCAGAAGCAGATGGGCTTCATGTGCCCGCAGCAGCCAGACGGATCCATGATTAACCGCCCTAAGCAGTGGTCATTTGGAATCCGATACTAATCCCTGTTGAGGGCTCAGAACCGTCAATCAGCGGCTTCCTATGTCATCGCCATCCATTAAGCCGTGTATGAGGCTTTTCATGGCTGGGTCAGACGGCTGACACTTTGTTGGTGTGCCTTGCCCGTACTGCCTTTTCTTGATTGAGAACCTTTGTTATCTCTTCTCTATACTCACTCTGGATATGATAGCATAACGCGACACTCAGCAATGTATTCCAAAAAACGCGACGAGCCGCTTCCACTGCCACCCACCCCCTACGTTCTCAGTGATAGTGGAGTATTCGACGGCAATGATGGAAAATGGTCATCGTTCCTTCTCAACATCGGAGATGATGGCTCTGGAAGAGGCCAGAACTTCAGGGTTCTCATTTCTACATCATCTCCAGTCGTCCTGGTTCCTGGACAAACTGAATGGTGTGATGACGATGAGTGTGCTAAGAAGCGTGGACTTGAGCTTTACGACGGAAAGCAGCCTCTCGGGCTACAGAATTCGGCGCAGTGGCAAGACGCCGAGATTTACAACATACCTCAGCCGCAGTGGTGGAGTGATTCCTATAGAATTGATCAGAGCGACTTGAATGGTGTATGGGGAGTCGATAACGTGGGTTTAGGGTCAAGCTCGCCACAAAGTCTCATACTAGCCGAACAGTATGTGGTCAAGACCTTGGTGAAGGATTTCTTCATGGGCTCTTTTGGACTCGCTGCGGGAGCTGTTGGCCCGCCTGGTGGAGACAAACCAAATTTCCTGGACAATTTCGAGGCTGCAAATAAGATCGCAAGTCGTTCATATGGATACACCGCTGGTGCATACTACCGTGAGTGATCTATTTCTCCATCTTCAGTCACAAAAGAACATCGCTTTGCGTTTACTTTAACTATTCGTCATATGTGGCTTAGTAACTGACGCGTCGAGATGGGCTAAAGAAGTATAGGAAACAACAACAATGGAGTCCCAGGAAGTCTAGTCCTAGGCGGGTACGATGAATCACGATTCACTTCGAAAGGTACATCCATACGCATGCCGAATGACAAGGATAACAAGCTTGTTGTCGGAGTACAATCGATTCTTTATGCAATGGATCAAGACGTTGAAACGAACACAGTAAGATTGACACCAAATGGGGGATTCTCTGCTACGATAGATTCTACACTGCCTTACCTCATCTTACCGGATGAAGTTTGCGACGAGTTTGTATCCAAATTCCGTCTAGATTTTGATAAGGATAGTCAGTTGTTTCTTGTCGACTCTACTTCTCACCAGGCCAACGAGCGCGAGAATGCTACCGTTTCCTTCAAAATCGGGGCGAGCCCTTCTGACAGCGATATCTTCACATCCATTGTCTTACCATACGCAGCATTCGTCCAACAGGCTAGCTTTCCTCTGCCCGTTGCCAATGATAACACCCAGTATTTTCCGATCAAAAAATCCGAGAACGGCAAGTTTGTGCTGGGTCGCACGTTTTTGCAAGAAGCTTACATCATCGTCGACTACGAAAGGACCAATTTCACAGTTGCGCGAGCATTGTTTGCTGACCCCATGCCCACTCAGAGTCTTGTCACCATATTTAACGAGTCATATACTGGACTACCTTCTGTCGCCAAGGATGATTCTGGAGGTGGATTACCTACCGGTGCAATTGCTGGAATCGTCGTGGCAATTGTTATAGTTTTCGCTCTCGCTGCTATTGGTGTCTTCATTTGGTGGAGGAAGCGCCGTAATCCAAAGAAAGATGGACGTGAAAGTGAAAGGCATTTGGAGATAGACACAACCCACGCTGGCACGGAAGTCAAGTACCGACGCGTTTCAGAGCTCACTGGATCCGAAGGTCCGCAATCACCAAGAGGCTCGTCCCTGGGTTACTACGGTCCCGATCATAAGTCGATACCCCCAATTTCCGAGATGTCACCAGAAAGTCCTCCCTCCGAGCTTTACAGTCCTCCACCTGAAGGTCATGACGGTGTTGATTATTTTGCTGCTGCGGAGGCAAGACGGCAGGGGGCAATGCGAGATCGCCGCTCTCCAGCCATGAGCACACCACAATCGCCTACTATTGCCGAACTTCCTGGAGAAGGCATTCCATACGAGACTTCTGCGGATGAACCGAAGCCGACACAAAGACCTCCACATAGCCGCAGCCCGAGTGACAGTTCACTTGGTACAAACATCGATGCAGTACTAGCGAACGAGCGAATGGTTAGTTCAAGGAATGAATCGGATGTTGATGATGCGGCGGTGGAGCCTTGTTCCTCGGAAACTATCGAGGAAGAAAATGGCGCGAAACCGGGCCCTCCGGATGGAGAACATGACCCTACCGAGCAATCAACCGTTGAAAGGCGGCCATCTCATTCGAGAGGGCTGAGTGACACTACAGTTAAAAGCGAAAGCACAGCAGTGTCGCAGCCCACCCAAGAAGAGATGGAACGCTGGGCTAGGACTGGAGAGGATGCACAGCGGCCCATGTCTCCGTAGCCTACAGCGATCTGAAAACCACCTCGGTGTACTTTGAGAGTTTTTCGAACAGCTTTTCCTTTTTTCGTATTTTCTTCGCTCTGAATACTTGTGCAAATCAAGATACCCACTTGTACATTCTTTACATCTATATTACACTCCTCTAGTTCCTTTACAGATGCAACGCCGCGATGCTATATTTATGTAAACACAATTCACCCAAATTCTTTCAACACAGCAAGTAAACTTTCACACAGACGTTACGCGTCTGACACCCTCGTAAGCCAATTCCAAATCCAAAAGTTACAACTCTATTATGTCCCTCCCGCCACCCCAGTCCCCCAAAAATCTCCTCATCCCCCTCTTTACACTGCACCGCACGCACCATATCCACCCTTCCCCCATCTACACCGCCACACCTAACCGCTGACCACCCCCTCCCTCCCCCAGCACTCCAACAACCAGCACAAAAAACAGCTGCATACAGCCTACTCTCCCTCCAGTCTCTCCCGCATGCCGCTAGCATCTCTTTGTTCGCAATTCCATTCTTTGTTTACCGGTTCGGCAATAACCCAGAACCAAAGGTTTTGCAATTGAATTGGACTGGGACTGGCGGGGATGGATAATTCTAGCCCTGCAGGTTTTGCCTGCCGCCCATAAACACAGTGTGGGATTTCTTTGGGCAAAAATCAGCCTTGTACATTTGCACAAAAGGGTTTGCACAATAATGTCAGCCTGATTATGACGATTTTGATGCTGAAGGCGGAATGATGGCACAGCTGAGCGGTGGAAGCTTTTTTTTTCATTTCAACAGGGTCGATTATTCAAGCACACAACGGTGGCAACAACGGATTCCTATGCTGACTTTCCTGAAATGAAAGCCTGAGGCATATTCGACCGTGTTCATGCGTTAAGTGCTCCGCGGAGCAAAACATCGGTATAAGCTTTAAACCCGCCTTCCAGTCTTGCGTGCACGAGGGTAAGAATTGGGGGCGGTTGCGCGGCGTATCGGGTAAGGCGAAAAGTGGGGCGAGTTGCAATATACTCCGAGGAGGCGAGAGCGATCCCAGTCTAGACGACACAGACTTTGTAAGCGTAGTATGAACATCAAACGCCCTTCTAGGTAACGCATGCGTATTTACTTGGAGAAAAAAAAACAATAATGCACGGGCATAGTTTCAAACAGGCCAAGTGTGGAGATGTTATTGTTCGAGGGAAACAAGATTGGTATTTTGCGGGCTGGATATCACGCCACAATGACATCTCTGGTCGTGGCATTTGATTGTTGTTCTATATTCAGCCTGATTAATGGATTAACCGGTGTACATAAATATGCACACTCGAGAAAGTTAACCGCCAGAATAGCGACGAATGCCCCGAAGCTTTGGCGCTGTTGAAGGGTCGCTGCGGGATCAAGGCACGGCTTTGCGCATGTGACGATTTTGCGCCAAATCCTCATTCGATACAGCTCAATTACAGGGTTTCTGGTTCGACATAGCGGGTCTGGCTATAGATAGCATGATGTTGTGGCGGTATGTCGTATACACACTCAATCCTCGTGGTCTACCTTGGGTATCTTGTCTTGCTCCGCTAACGTTACCATAAACTTGTGCCCAGGAGATGAATGGTCCGGCATCTCAGTGGGCACAGATTGTCCAGGGTGTGTCTGTCGATAAGCCACGTCAGGTGCGGGCCGCTGCGGATAAAGTACCCCTCCTGGTGTTGCAGCACTATTGTGACGCCGCATCAGATTTGTGAAGAGATCGAATGTCGCGTTCGAGTTGAGAAATGACAGTGGCCATTGGATGGCAGGAAGCCAGCTTTGATCAATGGATTCGTGGCATGCCTTTAGTACTCGCTGGCCCCAGTTTTTCATGAACCAGTATCGTGGTTCCGCGGCTAGGAGAATAGTGGAATAGTGCATGAGAATGACTAGCGCACCTGGCCGTCGTCGCTGCAAAAGACCCATGAATTCCGCACCGGTGTGTAATGGCCAGATGAACAAGAAGCGTAGCTCTCGGTTGTCAACCTTTGGAGGCATCGAGATACTTAAAGCAGGATCGAAGTGTGCCACTGTGGCCAAGTAAACCGCCCTTTCACTCTCAGGGAGATCATGTTTGTCCCGGATGAAACCGACTAGTGCAGGGGTTTGTTGTAGTAGCTCCAGCAAGAGTGGTTGGGAAGGGGTCACCTCGGATGGGTCTCTGACCAAGGGAGCAAGAAATGAGTCAACAATGGTAGTTTGTGCAAGTGCCAGGACATTACCCATACCCTGCATGAGGTAAAAGCAGTTGAGGAGACCTTCAATGGCACACGGTGATGTACCGTTCATATTGTGCTCAGCCTCGAAGCCTAATGAGGCAAATACACTCAGAGTGAGTAAGGTTGATGTGGCTACTATAGCTGCAGCTTCTTCAGGGGTGGTGGCTGCGATGTTTTTTCGCAGCCCCCTTATGGCACAATCCTGGTGGTGTATTCCAAAGGTGTAATATTCGTGGCATAGTTCTTGCTGCTGCTCTTTGTCGGCTTTAGAGAATGCAGCGAAAGCCAACATTTCGTGCATCAAGTAGGGATGTGAGATTGCATACTTTGGAGCTTCGACTCGCCACATGTAGCAAATATCGCTTCGAAGTGTGAGCTCTTCGTGGGCTTGGGTGGTCCAAAAATGCCTACAACGGATGAGTGGACGTGCCTGGTTGGGTGGGGTCGATGGTTGGTCTTACAGGAGCTCCAGGTCACGCAGCCAAAGGTCCGCTTGGGGGATTTCATTGCGGTGTATGAATCTTGATAGAAACAGATACTGGTCTGCCTGTGACTCTGGCGAGGAGCCTTCGGATATGGCTGGGTGCTGACTAGGGTGAGAGTCTATGCGGGAGGGAGGCGTTGCAGATGCCGACGACGCCTGTTGGCTGGTCAGCAACGATATCCAAAGGCATGGTGTCGATGTGCGGGTCGGATCGTACGGCTATGGGTCGCTCAGACGGGGACGACTGGTTGGTGCGTCGGGCAGTAGTTGCAGCGGAACCTGCCGCAAGGGAGGAGGACTGTGGTGTGTTGGGATCCCAGGTAACAAGGCTACACGGGACGCCATGACGGGCACAGTTTGAGCACGGCTTGAGCTCGTCACACTGTAGTCTATCTCAGCAATGATCTTCTTGGATCAGTCCACCATGCTCCGCCCGAGTTGGACTGGCGTACCTTCACGTGGCGAGCCTTGCACTGTCGACAGCCCAGGCGTGATCTGTCATAGACATTTTAGCGTAGTCCAGTGCCAATAATAGCCCCTGGTATGGCCAGGACGGTGAAACGGGATGAGGTTATTGGCGTGTGTGTGCGGGTGACGAATAGACGGGTGGGGGGTTAACAAGTACGGACTTCTTGTGCCCGAGGCGTGGCATTGGAGGAGAGCAGCACGGCCAGGGACCGGGGCGTTGGGCTGCGACAGTTGACCGCTCGCTCACGAGAGTGTAACGGACCTACTCTACTGGACGTGTCGTCAGACCGTTGATTGAGGCAAGAAAGCGAATGCGACGTGGAGGAACACGGGAGGTGCTGTCTTGGTGGAGCGTGGGATCTTTGCGCGCGCAGGGATAAGCACACACTATGCCTCTTCCATCGCACGATATGCACCCAAATAAAACCTCGGCGAGCAAGTGGAGCTCGCATTCGCATTCCTGCCCTCATCGTCCCCAGATGGCGCTCCAGCTCGCCATCACCACTGGCCCGCCGATTTCCATCGCGTCTCGGGCACTATCCACGTGCAGCGGCTCGTTCCATCGCATCTGGGGTCTTCTAATTACTTACATATGTATACAGGTCCTCTGCACATCACCCCACCCACCTTCCTTGTCCTTGCACCCGCTGTCCCAACATCATGCAGAAACGCTCCATGCCTCTCTACCATACACGCGCACACAACGCCTAGCATCGTCACATGTTGGTGGTCGAGATAACCACTAGATCAAGAGCTACCGCAGCCGCATGTGCTCCAGACCATTTGAATTTTGTGTTGGGCGGTCGAGAAAAAGCAAACTATGCACGCTACGCCCATGGCTCCATGTATACTTATGCTTACAAGCTGCAAGACGAACTACTTCAAGCAAGAGACTGGCCGGCGTGAAATCGAGACGGCTAGCCTAAAGGTCCTCATCGTGACCCCGCGTTGCATTAGGATAAACCGGGGACAAAACGGTCCTCCACAGCTGGCTTGCCTCCGTCATGGAACCGATCTGAATTCCAAATGACTCTGTCCATTGGATCGAGTGGTTACCTCAGCCAAGGCAGTCTGATCTGCATATGACGGATTTCACACGAAATGTGTGCTGATGGACATGTTATGTACTAGAACACACTTGTGGGGGTAACGTTTTCCGGAAGCACTAGGAAAGATGAATATTTGGAATATTCAAGCCAATATCAGATATTGATTATGAAAGATCTCACGACAGCGTATCAGGCGTTCCAGTGTGGTATAAAAATTATCACTAGTCTCCCGGCTCTGACAGATGAAATCTGGCTTGCTTATCATCGATCAATCTTGATTCATCATCCGGCCATGTTCAGGCTGGCATGTCCCTTGCTCCCACGATAGTGTCCTATTGCGCAATTCCGAGAGACGTACATGTTGAACGGCAAGTTTGATTGCTGAAACGGTTCTCAACGCCATGTATCGGATCGGCAGATATAGTTTGACCACAGCTGTTGCGGCCGTCATGTAAATAGAATAAGGGCTTGGCAACGTCACCCCTCAATAGAACCCCTAGCCCGCATTGAAACCCTATCGCAGACGCGAAGGCGTCCGATGGGCAATGACGGCGAGGTTTCTCTGTAGATGTAAAAAATGTCCAGCTATCTACACCTGCTATTGTTAGACACTGCTAGTCTGCATAGTATGTTTGTACAGTACATATGTCGACAAAGACCCCCAATCTATTCCTGATATGTGAGTTCCTTTTGCAAGACTCGCTTCTGGACAGTCAGCTCATGTCCTCGCAAATGAAAAGCGGCTAGAAGCCTTCGAG